TGGGGGCTTAGTAAGCTGAAGCTGGTGCAGGATCTGAAAGAGTAGACTGTTCTGCCCAGGTCTTGATCTTCAGAGGCCTGCCCCCTAATGCCTGAAGTGAGTTGAGAAAATGTACAGCCAGGACTCAGAATGCTCTTTGGAAGTGCCTGACCAGACAGTCGGGTGAGTCAGACATCCCCTGCTAATCTATGGAGGAAGAAGACAAGGCTCTGCTGAGGCCTGCTGAGAGGCCTGAGGCAGGTGCCCGGCTGCTTTTCCATGACGCAGCAGTACAGTTGAAAAGCCTTCAGGGTTTTTTCCACTGCCTCCTCCCTTGGGTTTCCATTTCCAAAGTGCTCATTGGGCAGAGGGCTGGCTGAGAATTGTTTCTGCCGTTATGGGGAGCTCTTGCAATTAGAAGAGAAAGCAGGGTTTGCTTCAATAGGGATAAACTCTTGCCATTTGCAACAACATGGATGGAATTGGAGAGGATTATGTGAAGCAAAAGAAGTCAGAAGGAGAAAGATAAATGCTAGATGGTGTCATTTGTATGTAGAGTACAGAAAAATACAACAAAGGGTAGATAAAGCAAAACCATTAAACAAACCCTAGAAATCTGACCGCAGAATTGAGGCTACCAGATTTGGAGGGGAAGGTGGGAGTGCAAAGTTGTAAGGGGGCGCAGTGGTTTCTGGTGGAGGACTATGGGTGTCTTGGTGATGGGCATGGTGTGGTAACATACACCTGAAGGGGGTGATCCTATACCTCTAAATGATATACAATGCTGTTAACCAATATTACCTCAGTTTTAAAAAAAAAGAAAGAAAAAAAATTAAGAAAAGGGGAAAGACAGTGAAAAAGTCTTCAAATACTAAGAAATTTCAGATAGGGGGCCTCCCTGGTGGCGCAAGGGGTCAAGACACAACCTATGAAGATGGCAGCTCTTCCTGCCTGCTTGTGTCTATATAAGTGTACTTTACTTTTCTGTCCCTTTTCCTAATAAACCTGCCCTTTAAATATAAAAAAAAAAAAAAGACACATCCTATGAAGCTATCCATAGCCACTGCCACATGAGATCAATCCCTGACCAGGGAGCTACCCACACAGCACAGCAGACCTCTCCTGACTCACCTGCTGCTCCCCTCAGCAGTGTATTTCAGTCGTCTGCCTGTTCTGTTCCCCACTCTGTCTCTGGTGAATCCTCTCACCCCCCACACCTCTGGCCTGTACCCCAGCTCTTTTATGCATAAATAAATAAATCTTTAAAAAAAAAAGAAATTTCAGATAAAGAAACATCACAACAAAACTATAGGAAACTGATGGTTTATCCAGAAAGGCTTATTCATCCTCACTATTCAAAGGCAACAATTTTCCCTTTGATGCCCCCCTGAATTTACCTGACATCTTTGTGATTGCTTAACTGTCTAAGAAAGTGGCAGCACAATGTTCCAAGTGTCCTCTTAACCCAAGGATAGATAAAACATAAACCCAAGGCTCCAAGTTTCACTGGGGAAGAAACTGGGAGGCCTATGGTGACAGTGTTATGACAACCCATGTCTAAGTCTGTGGAATTAGGTGAAAATTATGTAGCTCCAGGATGGGCTGGCAGCGGCTGGTGTCCAACTGTGGCAGATAGCGGGGCATTCTCTTACTTATGCTCCCAAAATTGCTTGGAGCTGTGGCAGCTCCTTTTCATGTTGAATCTGTGCTTTGTTATATGATTTATTTTGGCCTATGGACAATAGTAAATGTGGTCTAAGCAGATTTGAAGAGTGCATACATGTTTGGGCCTTGACTTCTCTTGCTGTTTAGATGATAAGACAATGATCTAGTCACCTGTCACCCCAGTCATGAATTAGCACCAACCACCACTATGGAAATGAGGACATTATAGACCAGCCAGACCTCACTCAAGCTACCAGTTGACTGAAGAACCACCTAGTTACCCCAAAGGCCCATGAGCAATAGAAATGCTGGCTGTGTAAGCCACTAAATTTTAGGGTAACTTGGGATTCAACAAAAGAGATAACTGCTTCAATCTCCCAGCTATCACCAGTGCCTAGACGGCATATAGCCTCATTCCTCTTCCACGTGACTGGTTTCTTCCCACACTGCCACTGGGAGGGCAGAAAGGGCACATATCCTGATGTATCACCAGTAAAACTTTCAGATGTCCTCAAACTGCTTTACAAGGTTGCAGATATCATAAAGCATCATATACTCTCATCACCACTTTGAAATTGTGGTAGTTAATCTACTCACCAACAAATATTGTTGTTTAATGCTTTAATTTTCAAAAAGATCATATATTACTATATAGCATGATTTTAAAACATATTTTGATAACTATCCTTCAATATAATTGGTTTCCTAAGAACTCCTCAGCTCTGTGTATTTTATTTTATACATTACAAAATAACACTCTGTCATGGGTAGAGAGAGAAAACAAAATTAGCAATTCTTTTTTTTAATTTTTTTTAAAGATTAATTTATTTATTTATACATACAAGCACTGGGTACAGTCAGAAGTGTGGGAGGGTGAGAGAATTCACCAGAGCCAGAGCGGGGAGCAGAGCAGGCAGAAAGACCGAAGCACACTGCTGAGGGGAGCAGCGGGCGGCAGGAGAGGTCTGCGCACCTTGTGGGACCCTCCTCCGGTGGCCAGGGAGCAGCCGGGGATCGAACTGGTGCTGCAGAGGCTGCGGGCAGCTTCGCAACCCAGCACTCAACCACTGCGCCACCGGGGAGGCCCCAAAATTAGCAATTCTAATTCTGTTCAGATAAAAAAAAATACATGGTTCATCTATATAGTGCAACTTATTTGCCCAACTTTATCTCTCAAAACATTGACATAACTAATGAAGATGTCTGGAGGAACATGTTGTAGCAAATAATCTAGGAAATTTATAGTTGTATGTGATTCTGCCAGATTTCAGAACCACCCTGAAACCATAATTTTGCCTACTATAATTGTGGTAGGCAGCGGAAGTGAACTCAAGTGCCTACAGGGAGTGGGAAAATAATAAAAATATGTACATTGGGCCACATATATAAAGATATGTTGTATTAGGCTCTGTGGCATGTTGCAGAGAAAATACCCTGCCGTAAGGCATTCAGATTTAAAATACGTGTAAATCCGGCACTGGGAAATAAAACAAGTTCATGGAGACTATTAAGCATAGAAACCATTAGTTCTCTATCCATGAATTAAGTATAAAACTGGACATCTGGGTCAACTTTCATTCTTGAACTGGCTCTGCCATTGTATAAGTAAGTGCTCTTTTCCAGGGCAGTCAATTTTTTATGCCCCAGTTTTTATATTTGCAAAATGGTTATTATTTCTTTATCATCTTCCTTCCCATAGCTATCATGGAGTTAAAAAAAGATCATAATGGGGGAAACAATTTAGGAAAAATAAACAAGTATCATTAAACAGACACAGAATGAATCAATACAAATATCTAAGTGACCTGAAAAAATTCTGTGTTTAGAGGACACGATTCTTTGAAGTCACCAGCTTATTGAATACAAAAAGGCACCTCAAAAACACTATTAGGGGCCTCCCCAGTGGCGCAGCGGTTGAGCCCTTGGTTGCGAAGCTGCCAAGAGCCTCTGCAGTGCCGGTTTGATCCCTGGCTGCTCCCCAGCCACTGGAGGAGGGTCCCACATGGAGTGCAGACCTTGCCTGCCGCCCGCTGCTCCCCTCAGCAGTATACTTCGGGCCTTCTGCCTGCTCTGCTCCCCGCTCTGGCTCTGGTGAATTCTCTCACCCTCCTGCGCTTCTGACTGTACCCAGTGCTTGTATAAATAGATAAATAAATCTTTAAAAAAAAAAAAAAACGCTATTAGGCTGTTAGATGTTTCTGCTGGTCTAGAAAAAAAGATTTTGCAGCCTAACAGCATGTTGGGGCCCACTTCTTCCTCTTCTAGGGTCTGTGTGTCTTCCTCCAGAACCTCATTCAATTAGATGCCAAACCTTCACCTTCTCTTTCAATGCAGATGACCTGGCTTTACACTGGCATTTTCAGTGATTGATGGAAAAATGAGTTCTAGATAATAAATGCAAAGGAAGGCGATCTCCTTTTCCCTCCCCCCTCTCTAATTTTCCTCATTGTGTCCAGGGAAATCTGTGGCAGGATTCAATATTATGGTTGTCTGGGTCAAGAACTCACTTTCACATCTTCTCCCACTGGGCCACATATGCCCTTAGGAAGCCCACATGAGGCACAGTTTAAGTAGATGTAGAAGAAACTACAAGTATGAGTTGTAGGCTTCAAAGGAAATGTATCACCTAGTTAACTGTCATATGGAAACTTCGGTTTGGTTCCAATCTCGGGTCCATCAACCTACAGAGGGCACAGTGCCCCATCTCATCAGGACATCCAATACCTAACATAGTCATGCAAAGTGAGGCGAGATGAGTTAGAAGAGGAAAGATGTGACCTGGAAACTCAGAGTTAGCCCTCATTTCTGCCACTGTGAGTAGTTTGGATTTTATGGAATCACTTTCTATCATTATATCCTGGATCTATAAGTGCCCCAGGTTTTGAAATCTGGGTAGTAAGTGAGAAAATAATGGAAAAACATATCTATATTATTCAGGTCAAGGTCCACTTTATTTTTTTTTAAAGATTTATTTATTTATTTTATACAAGAACCGGGATATAGGCCAGATGCGCGGGAGGGTGAGAGGATTCACCAGAGACAGAGCGGGGAACAGAACAGGCAGACTGATGAAATACACTGCTGAGGGGAGCAGCGGGTGAGACAGGAGAGGTCTGCCGTGCCATGTGGGACCCTTGCCGGCCAGCCGGGATTGAACCAGCGCTGCAGAGGCTACGGACAGCTTCACAGCGCGGTGCTCAACTGCCTGCACCACCAGGGGAGGCCCAAGGTCCACTTTATTTTTACTCCTGAAGGATAGAATGGAGTGGGGTTCTGATTATGACATCACATGAATGGGATATAAAAATCACTGAGCTTTAAATACTTCGGCCTCTGCTCAAATGCCACTTCTCAGAGATGCCTTCTCTCATGAGTCTTTCTAAATCAACACTCTATTTCCTTGAGATCATCCACCTACCCACTGGTCCTGCATTATTTTATTCAGACTATGATCTGTTATTCTGTATTAGGATATAAGCTCTATCAGGGCAGGGACTTTATCTGCTTTGTTTCTGCTTATTCTCATTTCTGAAACTAGTGCCTAGCATGTAGTAGGGACAATAATTATTTAATGGATCAATGAATTGGTTATAATGAAGAGGGCATTTCCTAGAGAAACATAGAAGTCTGAGCCCAGAAAGGTATGAGAGAAGCATCCTTCTTCACTTCAGATGAGTTTCCTTAGACTCTTAAGGGTGAGTTCATTTCTTTTCCTAAAGCGGCAGAGATTTTACCTGTGGCTTGTTAGCCAACCCAAGCTTTTGAAAAAAGAAAGGAAGGATAAATTATGCCTGCCTTGAAACTAGTTCTTCCCCCAATCCAATTGTGTGGGTTCAGCATGTAAGTTATCATTTCCATTATGTCCCAAGATGACAATTGATTGGTATAAGTTGATACCTGGTCCAAACCGGATCAATCAGAACCATTCCTTGAGATTTTTGAACATGGAGGACAAGCAAAAAATGGCAGTGCCTCTTCCATAGTAGATGGTGGGAAGTGCAAATTGGGTACTTACGTTTCTGGTATGTGGCAGAAGGAACTAACTTTTTAACAAGAGAAAGTGAAGTCAATGTACAGAAAGAAGCAAGAACAGAAGGCAGACAGCCAGAGCCATGGTGGTAGTTAAACACTGAACTTGTTCCTGAATTCCAGCTGCCTCTCTGCCCTTCCCCTTCACTCTTCAACATAATTCTCTCAGCCAATCAATCTTGATTTTTCAAAAAAAGATTTATTTATTTATGCATACAAGAGCTGGGGTGCAGGCCAGAGATGCGGGGTGGGGTGTGGTGAGAGGATTCACCAGAGACAGAGTGGGGAACAGAACAGGCAGATTGACTGAAACACACTGCTGAGGGGAGCAGCAGACAAGACAGGAAAGGTCTGCCTCGCCATGTGGGTTGCTCCCTGGCCGGCCGGGGATCAAACTCATGCCGCAGAGGCTGCAGATTGCTTCATAGTGCAGTGCTTAACCCCATGCACTACCAAGGAGGCCCACAAGCTCGATTTTTTCCTAAACCACCTATATTTGGGTTTATGTCATGCAAAACACAAAAAAGCAAAAACAACAGTCAATCTTTTTCAGGAAATTCTGCCTGGCGGCTCAGAATCATGGGAATGCCCCTACCCCACTTATACCACACCTCTCATATCAGTCATTATTTGAATCCAAAGGCATTTGAGGATAACATCTGAGAAATTTTCTGATTGGAGAGTGGAATGCAGAAAGAAGAAAGGTGCTATACTGTCATTTGGTGAGATTTTTGGCTTTGTTAAGTTTTGAGCTTAAGATTCTGGGAATTTGAAATTGAATATAACAAAGAAACCCTCTATTTCCCACCCAAGCCTCCACCCTCATTCTGTGCACACTCACTTTCCTTATCTTCAAATTTATTCTGATAAAAAAAAAATAGCATCTTTACTACAAAATGAGAAGACTGAATAGAGATGTCTAGCCAGAGGCCCAGATCAGTTCACCTTTCTCCAAGTACCTAGTCACAGCTTTGGTAAGGTAGAGAACAGTGGAAACACTTCATCCTCACCAGACCCAGTTTAAGATCAATGAAAACATTTGAAGGAGCTACTAAGATCTCTAGAATAATGATTCTCAAACTTGACCATGCATCAGAATCACTCAAAAATTATGACAGTACACAAAACTCTGGCCCCACTTGAGATTCAGTAGCTCTAGGATGGGGCCAAGAAGTGCATTTCTCACACATGGGTAACACTGGAGCTGCCTCACCAAAGACCACAGTTTGAGAATCAATGTTCTAGAGTAGTGAGTCATTGAGTTTGGAGGGTCAATAGCATTGCATTTGGGATCTTAAAAAATCAAACTCCAGGGCCTTCCCTCCCTCCCCGGTGCAAGGAGTTAAGACACAACCTATGAAGCTATCAGCAGCCTCTGCAGCATGAGTTCGATCCCTGGCCAGGGAGCTACCCATATGGCGTGGCAGACCTCTCCTGTCTCACCCGCTGCTCCCCTCAGCAGTGTGTATCAGTCTTTCTGCCTGTTCTGCTCCCCACTCTGTATGTGGTGAATCCTCTTACCCTCCACACTTCTGGCCTGTACCCCAGTTCTTATCTGCATAAAGACATAAATCATTAAAAAAAATCAAACCCAAGTACTCTCTTACTTGTGTGGAAAAAGAAGGAATCATTTTCTACTTTGCAAACACTCACCAATTCTTGACTTGTCCTTTACAATGGGAGCCTCCACTCTTTGGGAAGACCAGCATTGGGAAGATAGCTGCCACCATGCCCTCCCCTCCCTTATTTCCTCCTTCCACTCCCAAAGTAAGAGCTCTATGTGATGGGAAACAGGCAGTGAGTGAGCACAGTTTAGCCCATATTTGGATTTTTCTCTGTCTGCCCACAGCAAACTTGCAGTTTCTGTACCTGTAAGCTATAAGCCTCCTGAGGCAGCTTCTGAATTTTGGGAGAGATAAGTGGAGAAAGGTGGTAGGACCCAAGGTAAGCTAGCTAGCCTGTTTAACTCCTCATATTTCTGTTGCCTTTTCTGATGCTGTATTTTTTTTTTGAAGATTTATTTTATTTTTGCATACAAGAACTGGGGTACAGGCCAGAGGTGTGGGAGGTGAACAGGCAGAACAGCAGCAGAACAGGCAGATCTACCGAAATACACTGCTGAGGGAAGCAGCAGGCGAGACAGAAGAGGTCTGCTAGACCATGTAGGCTGCTTCCTGGCTGCCAATAGTCTAATAGTGCTGTCTTTAACCCCTGAGCCACCAGGGAGGCCCTGAGGCCATATTTCTGATGCTACTTTGGTGGGCATCAATGTTTAGACTCAGAGTAGACTAGGAAGGAATAAAAGGTAGGAAGTCTGTATAATTCTGGCTGCTGGTCCTAATCATTTTTTTCCAAGCCAACTTTAACAAAAGATCTGATAGTTTTATCACTAATCCCTCTCTGTATCATTTGATTCATGGAGTGGGAGGGGAGACAATTAGCATCTTGGAATTCATGGTAGGACCTAGACCAAAATACAGGGTTACTCTGGAGACTTTTTCCAACTTTGAAAAAGAGAATCATTCTGTAAATAGAGCTTAGAAGCATGCATTTTGTAGTTCATATAACTTGCATACAGAGGTTTTATATTTACTGGTACATAAATAAAGTTAGAAGTTTTGATAAGAAAGTGATGCAAGAAGGAATCTTGTGCCCACAGCTGACTGCAAGCGTCGGTTTGCACCTCCCTGCATGCATATTATATGCACATACAGAAAATACATGTGCACACCCATATTTAATAAGAAACCCAACCCTCCCCAACAACAACAAAAGCCCCTTAATGCAAAGCTGAATACAAAATGAAATCAACAGATGTAGCTTCATTTATGATTCACTAAATAGCTTTCAGCAAATTTTTCTTGAACTAAAGAATAGCAGCAAATTTTTGCCTCGCATCTCTTTATAACTGCTCAAGGGCCTTAATACCCAAAGCTGTAAGCAAGGCGGGCTGGGGGGGAACCAGTGTTTCGTGAAGCCATAATGGAGCTTCTGTTGATCTCCAACCATCCTGAGAATTACAAGACCATTTCCAAAGCAGAGATTATATTCAAAAGCATTTTTAAAAGCCTTCCCAAAATAAAAAAAAAAAAAAATCCAGGACAACACATTTTTCCCATTTTGTCATCCAGGCTACTCAAATTGAAAATAACATGATAACAAGAACCTGTTGTTTCTTTAAGCAAATTCAACATTAAAAAGAACAACAAAGCATATGGCTTCACATAACCTCCAAGAAAGAACAGTGGAACTCTGGCATGGCAAATGGTGAGTAACAGAAAATAATAGCAGGCCTTTCCTCACTCTCTGCATGGTAGAGCTAAGAGGACATCACAGGCACTGGCTTCTATTAGCTCAAGACAACCATGAATGAATCACGACAGCTATTGCTTTCTTTTTACAGATGTGAAAACTGAGGTTCAGTTCAGGTTAGATAAGTTCATACAACCAAAGTGGCAGAGCTAAGTATGTAGCCATCTGACTCTTAATCCAGTGCACAGTGGGTTTTTCTGGACACTTAGTTTTTCCTGATCACTCTTAACACTCATATCTCACCTGACTTTTGAGCCCACTGGACTGAATTTTTTTGGATTTTGTTGATGAATGTTCTGTACCTCAGAAGCAAGTTTTCTATTAGACTATCTCAATGGCTTGGACCTCCCTGGTGGCCTAGGGGTTAAGTCTCAGCGCTGTCACCGTTAGAGCCTAAGTTTGATCCCTGGCCAGGGAGCTAACCCACATACAGTGCAACAGACCTCTTCTGTCTGGCCCACTGCTCCCCTCAGCAGTGTATTTCAGTAGTTCCACCTGCTCTGCTCCCCACTCTGCCTCTGGTGAATCTTCTCACTCCCTGCACCTCTGGCCAGTTCTTCTATGCAAAAATAAATCAAATCAAATCTTTTTTAACAAAGAAAAGAAGATCTCAACGGCTTTTATGAAACTCATGGGAAAACTTTTGGTGTAATGGGGAAGAACTTGGGCTTAGTAGAGAAGCATTCCAAACTCTACTAAGGTTGCCATGGCAATGAAATGAGATCATGTATGCCCTTAGCCTATTGTGGCATAACACAGGCATTTAGTAGTTTAGCTACTATTTTCTTGTGGTGGTCAAGTAGTATCTTCGTTCTCAGCAAAAGAAAGTCAGATGCAAAGTAACTGGTCATGAATTTAGACTTGTTTTAGAGGACTGGCTGGGGAAATGCAAACTTCGATGCTCCAGTTAGTAATGACAACTTCTTCAAGAGAAATGACATATTTACCATGTCACACATAGGCTTATTTTTCATCTCTCAGGCAGGAGAACACGGGATGTTAGAAAGGAAATGTTGGAGAGTGTTGTAATGAAGCCAAATCAGTGCAAAGCTTATAGATATCACAGCACCAATTGAGAGAATGAACAAATATGTGACCTTGGAGATAAGAGTTGGTTGAAGTCACTAATCTACCCCCCGATAACTATGTCTCATAAGGTATATGTCAATGGAGGTATAGGCAGTGGCACCAAAAATATACTTCCCATCATGGTTAAAAAATGTTAGCTATGTAATTTATAAATATTAAACAATTTAGTTTTTATATATGAAAGTGACCTAAAAAGCTTACAGGCAATAGTTTGTCATCTCTGAATATAAACCTGTTTTTCTATGATTTTCTTGAAAATTGTCTGACTTTCATTAACTTTTTTTAGATTTATTTATTTATTTATACAAGAACCAGGGTATAGGCCAGAAGCACAGGAGGGTGAGAGGATTCACCAGAGACAGAGCGGGGAACAGAACAGGCAGATTGACGAAATACACTGCTGAGGGGTACAGCGGACACGACAGGAGAGGTCTGCTGCGCCATGTGGGACCCTCGCCGGCCAGGAGGGATTGAACTGGCGCTACTGAGGCTACGGACAGCTTCACAGCGCTGCGCTCAACTGCTGTGCCACCAGGGGAGGCCCTGATTTTCGTTAACTTTTTAACCCCAACTCATAGGTAATTAAACAGCAGGTTAAAAAAAAATAAATTATTTGTCTAAGTTTGACAAATGGGGTAAACCAAAATACTTCTTGAGACATCATTTTATTCCAGCATTTAAGGTGACTCTACATTCCTGAGTTGTTTTGATCTCAGACTTGATCACAAAAAGGAGAAATTACAGTTGTTCTAAGAATCCTTTTCTCTGCAAAAGGATTTGTTTCCTGTATAGCTGGTGTGTGACAGGCACTGGATTTATAGGATTCAAAGATAACTAAGATATTGCCCTTGTTCTCAAAGACTTTCATAGACAATAAAGAAAGGGAAATACAAAAATACATAATTACATAAGTACATAAGTACAAAATACATAAGTACATAAGTCATAAATCTTCTAAGAGTGGAGGGCATCCCTGGTGGTGCAAGGGGTTAAGCACCGTGCTATGAAGCAATCTGCAGCCTCTGGAGCATGAGTTCGATCCCTGGCCAGGGAGCAACCCACATGGCTCAGCTGAATCCTCTCACCCTTCACACCTCTGGCCTGCACCCCAGCTCTTGTATGCATAAATAAATAAATCTTTAAAAAAAATCTTCTAAGAGTAATGGGAATATTGCTCATTGGCAAGTAGAAGTAATTTCTAAAAGCACGGATTAGGGAACTAAAACATACTTCTACTTGATCCTGAATATTTAAATCTTGCTTAATGACAGAAATTTCAAGGCAGGGAAGTGGATTGGCTTAGGAGATACTATCATTCATAAGATATGTCTCTTTGTCTCTTGGTTAATCTTGTCTTGTATTGTTCCATATAGTCTCCAGTTGGGACTAGGCTTTCTGGCCTAGGAGGTACCATATTTGTCCAAACTTGACACATCATCCCCAAGTTTGGTGATAAAAGCTCTATATTGGCAAAGGCATGAAATAGACTGGGGTATTTGGGAAATGCACATGCATTTAAACAACAACTAATGGCATCCTAGTTGATTGTCATATAAATGGAGACAATTTACACAAGGGCATCGCTTAGCTATTTACTAAGTTCCTTGATGGCTGAGGCCAGTTCTTTAAAATATAATTTATTTATGATATAGCAATTTGTGGATATTGACCACTCAGAGAAATTTTCAATCAACTGTATATTTTGGATAGAGAGCCAAGTTCTTTTTTTAAGTTGGGTTTATGTCTAAAAGATTCAAAAAGGGATCCTATATGAAATGTCTTCTAAAATGATAATACCTCCAGGTATAAGCCCAGCAAATGGTATTGAAAGCCAAAACATACCTATTTTTTTTTATTGCTCTATCATCAGTCACCCACATAGTGTCTTCATAATACATGGTAGATGCTCAATAAATGTTTGTTGAGTGAATCAATGAATGTATCATGATAACAGCTATATCTGAGCAATACAGAGATGGTAATCTTGGAACTAAAAAAAGTGGATATATTTTGCAATTTCTCAATCAAAAATCAAGACCATGGGCCTCCCTGGTGGCGCAGCGGTTGAGTGCTGGGTTGCGAAGCTGCCCGCAGCCTCTGCAGCGCCGGTTCGATCCCCGGCTGCTCCCCGGCCACCGGAGGAGGGTCCCACATGGCGCGCAGACCTCTCCTGCCGCCCGCTGCTCCCCTCAGCAGTGTACTTCGGTCCTTCTGCCTGCTCTGCTCCCCGCTCTGGCTCTGGTGAATTCTCTCACCCTCCCGCGCTTCTGACTGTACCCAGTGCTTGTATAAATAAATACAATAAATAAATAAATCTTTAAAAAAAAAAAATCAAGACCATTATCTTGAGTTCTAGTGTTACAAAAATTATGATGGACTTCCCCACTAAAAAATTTAATTCACTAGGACAGTGCTGCATATTGAAATTATCTGTAAGTGTTCTTTCTAGCAGGCTTACTGGTATTCATTTTTCTCTTACTTTCTATTTAGAAATGGAGAAGTTACAGTGTAATTTACCTACAGCTAGCTGGCAGACCAACCTAGGATTGAGGGCAGGGAAATTTAAGAAATGTAATATTTAGCAATTTAGCAGTCATTATTCTTTGAAACTCTATACAAGATGAATATGAATAAAGGAGATAAACAATTTTGTTTTAGATATTCTAGAAAAGGGGATTTTATCCAGCTTTCATGACTCTTAGAGCTCAGCTGTGAGATTTCTCAAACAGGAATGAGGCAGGAGTACAGGATACTCTGGCCTCAGGGAGTATCTAAGAGACTTTCGTTGTCATATACCCTGTTATCAGCAAAGGACAGATACCACTAATTCAAGACTACAGGCATGAAAAGTCATTCCTGAAGTTCAAATCTACAACTAGCCTCACTTGGATATCAGAAGTTGTGGGGAACTGGGACCAGATGGTTATTGTGTAGAACCCACAATTTCATCAGAATATTCAAAATTTCATCAGAAATTTCATTAGAAATTTCACAATTTCATCAAAATAATTTCACTCAAGTATAAAATGGACCACTTTGGAAGACAAGATGAGGCATGTCAGCAGAAAGTACAGTCTCAATTAAGACATGAGATATATTTATTTGGGGGGTAATAATAGCCTTATCAGATGAACAGCAATACAAAAACCCAAAAGCAAAAGAAAAGTGAGTTGTTTTAGTTCTCTCTTTTCATGGATCAAAATTTGACTTACTTTACCAGTATAGATGATTACATTTTTCTGTGACCAAAGAAAGTAATCCACAACCTGGGGCAGCTATCATTCAGCATCAAGCCTGTGTGGGCATTGTAATTACTATGAGTTTCTCCACAGTGGCTGGTAAGCATTGAAAGGGGAACACTAACTTTGACCCGGGATTTTTTCCCCCATCTCTTTTTGGGAAAATATATTTTGGTCTTGTCATCAATTAGTCACTACTGAGAATAAACTCTATGAGTAAGCAACAAGAAAATCAGTTTACACCCCTTCTTGGTGGCACCAGGGGTTAATTCCTAGCACTATCAAGCTCTCAGCAGCCACTGCAGCACAGAGATCAATCCCCCACCAGGGAGCTAACCCACAGGGCACAGCAGACCTCTCCTGTCTAGCCCGGTACTCCCCTCAGCAGTACATTTCAGTTAATCCACCTATTCTGCTCCCCACTCTCTCTGGTGGATCCTCTCACCCCCCACACGTCTGGACTGCAACCCAGCTCTTGTATGCATGCATAAATAAAATAAATCTTAAAAAAAAAAAAAGAAAATCAGTTAGGATAGCCTCTTGTAATATAAGACTTTACCTTGGTGGAAAGATGCAGAAATCTGCACTATAAATGGAGTTGTAAAAGCAAGGAGTACATGGTTTTTCTGGAACATGTGCATTTAATGTGACTAAATTTAAGAAATAAATATTGTATCATCAGCTGCTAGCCTCTGAACTTTTAAGTCTAAGTTTTAAAGCTTCCTTCTCTGCTGATTCCTTGCCCTTAAAGCTTTTGAATAATATTATTTTATACTTGACACTCCAAATTTGATTAGTTTTTAAGCTGGTTACTAATGTCTTTTGATTTATGTCATGTGGAAATGTTACTTTTTAAGTACTTCAAGGCTCACAGATTTTATAAAATCTTCTGGTTTTTTTTTTCCCTTTTCTAAGTGACAGGAGAAGAGGAGAGAGAAAATAGCAGCCAATCTATTGCTTAAGTCAAACATGAGAGGATCAAAAGGAAGTCTAGAAAGCCGTTTTTTAAAAACAGTAAATTGGGTTGAAAAAAGAATTATAAAAATATAGGCAAGTTTTAGGAAACAGTCTGTGCCAGAATAGCAAGAAGTCTGAGATGATGGGAGATCCCCAGAGCAGTGGAAGAAAAAGCCAAGATTTTGTAACTCTGCCTAGAAAGGCTTCAGAAAGATGAAGCCCGTTCACTTATGGAGGGAAAGTAAAGAGACAGAGGTGCAGTGAGACTGTGGGTGTAAATAATCTTTTAAGGCAGGGAGAGAGAGAAGTCAGTTACAATAGCAGGATTAATAAGGCTGTGCCAGATAAGACTATGAGGTCACTAGACACAGACCTGTCACCCAGGGTTTTTGGCCTTCATTTCATTGACTTCTGAATGGACAGGCTGTTAGTACAGTTTTGTTATTCTGCAGTTGAAGAAACTGAGTTGAGCCATGGCTCAATGGTTCATGGTTGAGATTCTTATAGATTCCAAAGTAGAAAATTACAACCAGTTGCTTCAAGGACTGAACCAGGTCTATAGACCCTGATCAGCATCCTTGTCATCACACCCTGTTGCCCAAACAAGAGGGGGAAAGTATTGCCCAAAAAATCAAGCTCATTCTAATTCCTCATTGAGATCACATGAAAAAATGCATGATGGAAGAGGTAGCACAGTGTATAACTAAGAGCTTAGTCTCTGGAGTCAAAGATAGCATTTAAAGCCTGGCTCTGCTTTCTAATGTTAGGTAAGTTACTTAGCCTTTCTCTGCCTCAGTTTTCTCATCTGTAAAATGGAAATGAATAGTAATGACCTGATTACAGAACTGTTATGAGGATACAATGAGTTAATATAGTTTAAAACGTTCAGAATTAATGGTTCGCTCTCACATGGAACTATTCGGATTAATTCTTGTTTCAGGTACTTCTGTCCTTCTAAATAAGATTTATGGCTCACTAAACGTTATCTAATATTACAACTGAACTCATACAGTAATAGTTGCATCATTCATTTAGAAATCAGAAAATGCTTGGTGACTGGCTTTGAGATACTTATCAACAAAGTTATGTTAGAAAGAAGTAACTATATAATCATTATATCAGCAATAAGAATTCTGAGGAGGTCACAGCACAGCTGGGGTACTCTGGAAATTTCTTTGAACCTTCTTTCCTTTTGTAAGACTAATTTGAAAACAAATGAAGAAACAAAACTCTCCACTCAGAAGCATGTTCAGCTTCCTCAATTGAATGCTCCAACTCCTCACTCCCTCGTACTTGATACTTGGAAGACACTGCCCTCAGTTTAATACAAATCAGTTTGACTTCTTTCTAGAGGATCAAATGTCACAATCACCAATGTTCCCCTAGGGAATCAGCTTGGAAATCAACATGTTATCCTAAGGATGTCTCTCCTGCCAGCATTTTGGTGAAGAGCAGATGAGAATGGTCCCTTGACACTTCAGAGCCAAAATTGAAAAAGCAACAAGATCTATGTCCATGCCGGTCATTATTCCTCCACACGAAGCCATTGACTATTTCAATTCAGCAGTTCTATCAGCATTTGGAATTTTGAAATTCTGCTGTGAGCAGAACCCACAGGATTTAAAAGGAAATGGGTATAATTTAGACCTCGAACAAGACCCAGAGTGAGGATAATCAGCACAAATCAGCAAGGAAGGTACAGGAAAGAACAGGATGCCCATCTTACTTCAGTTTTCCAAAATTTGACTATACCATCTCCCCTTTGTCCCTCAATTTTAGTCTCTTGAGGATGATTCTATTCATTATGCTGCCTGAAATATGCACAGAAAAACCATCCAGTTGGTATATCTGACAATGCAGCATATTCAGAGGATGCAAGAGAGTGTTCAGCATGGCTATTATTCAACTGTACATTATGATATGTCTCATCCTCAGATTCCTCACCTGATTTTTAATCTCTCTGGGGGGTGCTCATCTTTAAATAATTTGTTCTAATCAATAATGGAAAACGAAACTTACAGTTATCTAGGAAGGACTTGTAGACTCATGTTCATCCTGAAATGTGACCTTAAATATGCTTAAAAGGAGTGAGATTTTTTTTCCTCCCAAATTAATGATAGCAATTCACTCCTCTCTGTTTCTAGGAGAATGCAAGTTGAATTCAGTCTGTTAATAGCAATCACCAGATTCTAAAAAGAACCTGATTACTTTGTTATATCAGCTTCTGCTCAGAAATCAACATTAGAAGCTAAAGTACTAAACAGATTCTCAGGATGGCATTCATAGTTTTTCTCAGAAGTCTCCAATCCTTTTCTAGCATATTCTCCAACACAAGCTTCCCACTGTACCCAAATAGATGTGTATTTTTAGGGTTTGCACATCATAACTTGGGCTTGCCTAACTTGAAGTTCTGTCTCTGCTATAATTTTAACTTAGCAGATCTCTTTCGACTCCCTTCAACCTCCAAAAGCCGACTGAAGTCCTGGCTCCTCTCTCAAATGACTAGCCCACTGCTAAATTGTCCTCAGAATTGGGGTGCCTTATTTTTTGTCCATTCACATTGCAAATGATTATTTGTTCTTTCTAACTACTGCGTTTTCATTCTAGTATTAATTTTTACTGATTATTGTTTTCATTAAGATTACTAGATGCTAAACTTACTGAGGTCAAAGATCATGTCAGTATGAGACTTTATATCCTCCATGGGGTTCATTTATATATCTGGAACCCACTGATTGATCAATATTTTCCTATTAGGTTGGTCCCTGCCAAGGAATGACATTGCAGAAACATACCTAGCACCGAGGTTGAAAACACCAATTTTCATATCTTAGAGACTTGTAAAGCAGTTCCACAATGTGAGGATAATTGTTTATTTATAGTGCATCATATAAAAACCAGATTTATCTATTTTTATCCTTCGTGTCTCCTCTCTCAACCCCTTTCTCAAATTATCTCTCATTTCTTCTAATTGTCAAAAACTACATGTTCTGCCGAAGACTGTTATGGGAAAAGCTGGCACTGGCAGAAACATCAATTTTCTGGTTGAAGATAATCACTTTGGGGTTAACAGAGTTTAGGAATATCTTTAGACAATCTATTAAGGGGCGTTTGTATTGGTGGTTTCTATGTTTAGCAAAGCAAAATAAAATTGTAAATTCTTGGGAGATTTTACCATGGAGAAGTTAAGAGGATTATAAATTGTTTTATATTCTGAATGCCAAGCTGGTTATTCAGAAATTGCCGATGAACAAGCAAGGAGGTACTATCAGGTCTGCAAGAATGTTTCTTGGCGCATCCTTATGTACATCTGCTCTTGCCTCTTTACACTGTATTGCCCTGGATTTTTAAATTTTCAAACTTAAACTAAAAAAAAAAAAACTCAGTTTTTTTCTGAGGGTCACCAATAATGCAAATGTTAAATTCATGTTTCGATTGTGTTTTTATTTATTTCTCAGGAAGCTAATCTAGATTTAGCCCTATAATTGTGCACATCATCACTTCTTCCCAGATATGTGCCCTCTGCCAGCTTCACTGCAGTCCTTTACCTCAATCCCTCCTGCCCCAGTCTACCAGTAGCAAACAAACCCAGCAGTAATCACTAATGTCCAAGCATGTAATTCCAGCAGCATTAGGCTTTTCATTTGACGCAACTACGCAGAGAGCTGTCTGGACATGTAGATTTGAGTCAAAGCAATTTTTAAGATTCCTACTCATCTTCTCCCCTCCTTCCATCACTAAAACACAGTTGTTTATTTTGTCTGTAGACTGCAGAGTTAGGAAATTCTTATGTGCAGTTACATACTCTTGAATAAATTCCCACCCAAATAATTGCACATCTATATACAATAACAGATCAATATACTTATATGGAAAACATGATTATCCATAGAATAAAAAACCCTAGAAATAAATAGCAGGGAAGGAAAGTACCTTATCTAGGTAGATAGGGTATTTCAGCACCTATAATATGTGTGTGTGTGTGTATCTGTGTACTTAGAGTTATGATTAATTAAACACAATCCAAGATCTTATTCTGAGACTTTTCAGGGGATCATGATAGCATTTCTTTAATGCCTTGTATATTCTTAGATATGACGCGGTAACACATATTTAACAACTACTCAAATAGCACAATTTTGCTCCTGTTTTTTTATGCCAGTACTATCTATATCAAACAGCTGGAAATATCTCTGTGATAATTTCTGTTCACTCAGAGGCTACAAGCCTCAGAGTAGAAAATGGTTAAAGTGCTTATCACCACTTCAGCAAAATCCCGCAGTGCCGTAATAGAAATTGCAGTAGATCTTTCGGTCAGAGTCCAGTTTCAGTCTAACCCCGTGGTTCCTTCCTCTGTGTTACCCTGAAGGACACAGTTGCATTCTCCTGAGGAAAGCCAGACTTAATGTTGTCCAAATCAGAAACCATCAACCTAAGATAACCAATTTCCATAGGAAATACTTCCACTCACTCTAGATCCATGACCAAAGAGGTTACATCTATATATGCTTCAGGACCTCTGAGATGTCATAGAGATGTATTTTTGTGTGCTTCTATTCATGCCTAGTGACAAGGATAGGGATAGGGGAAGGAGAAAAGGGTTCATTCTTAAAGTTGATTCTGTTTAGTTCAACTAGCCCCATAACTAGAAATAAATATGGAGCTATATCACTCCTATAAACATATACAGTTGGCATTTTCACAAATACTTCATTCATGCCCACCCAAGATCTGTAGTCAGATCTGTGTTAAAAACAAAAACAACCCTTGGTATTGAACTAGAGGATAAATACAGTATTTTTAAATGCGTTTATTTCCTAGCAAAAAGAAACACAAAAAATTTCCACAAGTAGACTATATTTCTTGAAGCTGTGCAGTAGGTGAAGATGGGAGGAGGTAGTTGCCTGCCAAGGAATCCCTGTGGGCAAAATTTATTTTTCCTTTCTTTTTTAAAGCTGATTATGCCTGCTTTATTAGAGGGTCTCTGTGAGAATGGGGCTTCAGAGAAGCAATTTGGCCTCCAGCCCTGGAATATCAAGCCAGGTCCAGACATCTCTTTGCCGCAGGTGCAAGCGGCTCCGCGACCGGACGCTGTCCGTTGTGCTGAAAGGTCGCGCGCGCCCGAGCGAGCTCTCAGTTTTGCTGTCCAGGGTGCTGAGTGCGGGCCGCCGCAGTCCCTGAGGCAAGCCCACCTCCCCCAACTCTCCTCAGAACAGTCCCAGCCAGCACGACCCGCCCGCCCCCTGCCAGCCTGCAGCTGATGTGGAGCAGGAGGCATAAATCAAGTCCGTGGGACATGGAGGCTGCTGTCGCTGCTGCAGATCAGCTCGCCCGGGGCGGGAACTACTCTTCGCCTTTTGCTTTCCCAGCGCCCACACCCAGTCTTCCCCTCAATTCTTCCCTGGATGATAGCACCCTAAGGACAAGTCAGAATAACAGAACTAGAACGAAAGGGTCTGTTTGTTTGGGTCTACAAACAACAACAACAACAACAAATAATAATAATAAACAAACAAAAATCCCCAGCAGCCTAAACATCTCTGAAAACTGCATCGCAAAATGGAAGAGAGTCCGACTACTGTCTCCAATGAGTAAGTTATTATTCGGTAGGTGTCCTTTCGCTCCTCCTCATCACTCCATCTGCAGTGTCCCTATTCATCCCTTCCCTACCCAGCTCACCTCGAAGATACTTTATAAAGCCCCAGGTGGGAGCCTAGCCAGACTCTCACACAGACACAGCCAAGACAAACACACACACACACACACACAAACACACACACACAAGAAATACTGCATCCTAGGTGCACAAATACTTGTGTTTGCCCAAGCTCACTAGATCTGCCCAGCTGTGGTCTCCTCTACATTTGCAGCCAGCCACCCAATGTCAGATTCACGACTTGGGGAGGGTGCACCTTACCTTGGCTTCTCCAGGGAGGAGTGAGTGTTCGCCCGGCCCCTGCAGTTTGCAAG